GAATGCTTTAATCTCTGTACTACAAATACCATGCCATATATCCTAACAGAACTAGGTGGGACATCCTGTCGCCCTTTTCCTGACTGTTTCATACCAATGGCATCTGACAGTCAATACACCTAAACTTGTTTCTGCTGGGTGAGCTTACAGTTATTAAAAGTGATTTACTTTTTTTTTTTTTTCCTAAGAGCATGATGGTACTTTTTGTAATATTACACTTAAATCAATTTCTTTTACTTTGCTTGGAATCAGTAAGTATATCATATGACACTTTGGAAATATTTGTATCTGTAATAACTCTTTTTGCATCACGTACTCAGTAATCCATGGATTTTATTATTTAATAAAAGACAACAAAAGCATTAAATAGTGTAAGTTCCAAGATCAGTCACTACAAAAGTTCACATAACAGTTTTCCTCTAGTACCATACCACATGCTTTGCAGCGAGCTAGATTGACTGGAAAATCAGTTGTGTTCTGGCAGAAAACAGCAGTTCCCAAACCTCTTCTGTAGTCTTGCACATAGTTTAAATGGGGTAGTGCTGAAGGCAGGCTTTGGAGAATTGTTTCGTTGTGTCTGAAATCTTTAGTCTTATTTCAGTAGTTTGATAAACTTACTTCTGAAGCTGCTTCTTGTTTCTGAAAGGGTCTTCTCTTAGTTCCCTTAGTTCTTACTGTACTCTGTATGTAGATGTATTTTAGGTTTGTTTCCTTTTGTCTTCTGAAACTTACAAAATGACACTTTTTATTAAAAAAAAGGAAGAAAAAAGATTTATTTTTTTAATTTTTTTTTTAATCCCACCGCACACTTTAAGCAGTGGCATTTGGCAAGTCCACCCATTGCCACAGACTTCTTTCCTGAAACCAGACCCAGGTTAATCAGCAATGACCTTCTTGCTGTCCTGATCCAAAACTTTTGCTTTGATTGAATCAGATTCTCTTCTATCAGTGTTGTTCCACAATGTTTTTATCCCTTGAACTACATATTTCCTTCAGGACTCGTGCTTCTGCCCTTGTCATTACTCCACCAGTGTTTTTTACTTAACATTGTGTCTTAGTAGTTCTCTGGTTAATTGCCCAGGTGTCTATCACTTGTTACTGTTCTCAAGATCAGTATTTCTCATTTCCCTCCCTCTTCATTCTCTTATGATTTAGTATGACTCTGCCACCTCTTTGGCTATAAAGGAAAATAATTCATAGTATAAGAAACAATGAGGAAATCATGCTTGGTTTTCTTCGCTCAACATTTTATTTTTTTTATTCATGACAGTATGTAATTGCATCCAACCTTATAAAAGGAATTTTGGAAGTCAGATTGTAATTTGGATCTCGCTTACCTACCCCAGCATCAGTATTATTTCTGATTCGCTCATAAAAATGTAAAAGGTTACATTTTATCCTGGCATGATGCATAGGTTCAGCTGATTGCTGCGTGCCAGGATGACACTTGCTGCTCTGTAACTCTCCGGATTGGTCCTAGAATCTCTTAAATTATGCATTTTTTTCCTTCAGAAGGGCAGCTGCTTTTACAGTTTTTTATTGGAGCTGTTTTTTCAGCTGTATCTCACAGTTTTAGCAAGGCATAGTAAATGGAGTAAAAGTACAAACCTCAGATACTAACATGAATAAAGGTTACTGGGGAGATGTTGATTTGCAGTGTAGATGGTTTAAGAGTCTAAGGATACTATTAAGACTACCTTCCAACCTTATATATGTCTGATTTTTATTTTTTTTTTCCCATTTAGTACCCTGATCTACAAGTTTGGAAGAACAGAAGAGTTATGGGCATGAGTGATCGCATATGGCATTGTCTGTTCCACAGTTGCTATGTCGTACTATGTATGTAGATATATTTACATCTATTTGTTCTTGGTTTGCTTTCTAAATTGAATGAACTGAGGCAAATTACAGTTTCTGTAATAAGCTCCCTCTTTTCACAGGACAGATTTGTGAATATGTACATACACCTGTATATATCTTAAAAAGGGAACGTCAGGCTTTCTTTCTGAAACCTTCAGGCTTATTTCTTCAGATACAGGGGTTTCTGTCAACCCCTGAGGCTTGATCTTCCAAACCTTCCTGTGTGTCAGAGACTTCAGGGGAGCTATTAGTAAACAAGCAGGATAAAGGCTGTACCCTGTGAAAGGGATAACTACTTTTATGTATGGGAAAGCTCAAGGCAGTTCTGTGAGGGCTGGAGACAAGGGCTGCCTTTGTAACCTGAAGGAGTAGCCAGCGCATGGAATGACATGGCTGAGCCTGCCTTTAACGAGGGGAAATTCTATTGTACGCTGAGATAAAAGCTGATTTTAAGAATTTTATATAACTGTTCAGAAAAATACAAAGTAGCTATTTTTTTGTAAAAGGTTATGAATTTTTAAACCAGGCCCTCTATCAAGCAGGTTGCGCATGGCAAATTAAAATGTTCTTGACTTCTGATTGCTGTAGCACAAACGACATTTGGTAGCACCACAGTCCTCAGAATTAATTTCATGCTGTTCTGTGTAATAAATACCAATTAATATTTAATGTATTTACTGGTATTAGAATGAAAACCAACAAACTGATGCCAGTCATACTTGAAGCATATAAAGAACAAATGTGGGTCAGACTAGCATCTTTAAAATTATGCTAGCAGAATTTTCTTCAGGGGAAGCTTTTTGCCAATAAATGAACAGTTACCCTGCTACCCATTACCCTTTCTATTTAACAGGCAAGCATTTCAAGTGAGGATATAGTATTTATTGCTCACAGCCTTACCTTGAAATAATTGCCAGTTTTAGGACAGCCATTTGCCCCAGTTAAAATGTATTTATCTATCTCCTAAATTTCCTGGGCACTTTCTGCGAAAAATTCCATTGTTGAAATCCAGTTTCTTCTAGCTGGAGTATACAGAAAGGGAGAACAATTATGCTTTATAACTTTGGCCTGATCTTGTATATTCATCTGGCTCCTGGTGACTTCATCTTATGAGTTCAGTGTGGTTTTCAAAGCATTTGAATCTACCTGGTGTTGAAGAGCTTTTATAATGCTCCATCTATAAAGACTGCTGACCAAACGGTATTAAACTGCAGAATGTACCTTCTGTGCATGGTTACTGTATCCTGTTCATCATCTAATTGCTCCCTTGTGGGAATCTCTCCAGTGGACAGAATATGAAGCAAATACTGCGGCTGAAATTGTGCTACTGGCCAGACCGACCAACTTCACCCCGGCCTCACTGTCCTGCAGTGAGTTGCAGTAGATTCACTGCTGTTAATCAGTCAATCAGAGCTGTGTACATAAGTTGTCTGTTTGGTTGTCATTTCAGAAAACTGCAATAAACCTTATCTTATGTTCTCAAACTAGTGAATTGAGCAGGAGTACTCGTAAATAGTCCAGCAGTATTGACCTTTGAGCAAGTCTTAACACCAGGTAATAAGTAAAACCTAAGATTTTTGGTTTTAGGTCTGTCATTTCTTGCTGAGGAGCTTGGGAATGTTGTTTGGTTTTTTTCTCTAAGTGAGAAACCAGTGTGGCCTATAACTGATCTCGTTTAACAGGATATTGCACCAGCCACTTGAACAGCACAAGCCGACTGACTCTGGAAAGACTCTTACAGTATGCTTTAATGCAAGCTCCTGCTTCAAAAACCCCAGTTTTCTTTAGAACAGTGCAGGAGCTTCTTTGAGGTTACCTCATTTTCTACCACAAGTTTGCTTTCTTGTATTTCTCAGCAAGTCATCTGTTTTGACTGGAATGTTGATGCTCTCTATACAGCTGCTAGGAGGAGAAAAGAGACAGCTTTGAGTATTTGTCTTTTGCGGTAGCCTAAACTGAAAGTGGGTGTAGTACAAGAACTGTGCAAGTGTCCAAGGTCTGCTTTTACACACCCCAGGCGGTTCCAGTGTAGGCCAAGGTGGCTAGGGACAGTTGTACCTTAGCCCACCACCGTTGGCAGTAGTAAAGATAAATAACCCTTGAGTTGCTCCTAGCAAAAGCTTTTTAACTTTGGCAAATTCATGTAACTAAAATTCTTTAGTAACAGCTTTCTCTAACAGAAGTCTAGTGTAGGGCTTGCTCAGGAAGTTGTATGCTGTATTGCTAAATAGTCACAGGTGATATTTTAACTGCTGCCTTATTTATGTCATGTACGTCCTCTGTTATGCAGTTAGGTTGTTTCTTTGTGAGCCCATGGGTCTTCATTTATTTACAGTACAGGAAAAGACCGTGGATGAACTTTAGAAGCAGGCATTGTGCAGCTTCTGGCTGACTGGAAATGTCTCACCAGCCTTGACGTATGCCTAAGTCTTAAGATAAGCGTGCTGTCTGAGCATGCTGCCTCAGCACAAGGGGTGAGATCAGTTCTAGGAGGAAACAACCTCACAAAGCTTTTGGAAAAATAGTACTAATGTTTCATGCTGGACTTGTGTATTCCTGGAAGGGGCAGAACAGCACTACCGCAGGTAGCCTGCACCTCAGACAGTAGCCAAGGTCTTGAACAGACCAAGGTAACTTGAACAAGTCATTTGCAAATGAACAAGTTTGTTCTTTTAACATCTTGTATCAAACCCAGGAAAAAAAAAAATCAAACAAATAAAGCCAATCTTTTTAGTACAGAAGTGGTTCATTTGTGCTTTATTAGACACCTTCCTGGCCCCACAGGACTATGATGTGAGGCTTAACTTCCGATTTGCTTTAAGGGACTCAAACCACAACCCTCAGTCAACTTCTCATTTGCAGAACTAAGCTGATAGGCAGCAAGAGGTTTTAGTGTCTGATAATTTACCACTATGTGTTATAAATTCAGAGCAAAAGTATCTAAAGTTTCTTTTGCTGTGAAGAACAACTGTCTCACCGCAGGAGCCAAGATTAATGCTTCTCATGAGTGTTAGGAGGCAGGAATAAGGAGGTCGTTCTTGGGGACTTGTCCTGCTGAGGAGAATAAAGTTACATTTCTTTTTAATTAGACTGCCATTTTTATCTGGAGGAAAGAAGTTGTCACAGAAACCTGCATGTACCTAGAATGATTCAGAAAAGCATTCTGGGGTGGATATAACACACACTGAGCACTAACACTGACTTAAAAATAAGGCAACAAAACAAAAGCAACTCTGAAGGTAGTTTCTGGTGCAATTATTCACTCACTGAAACAGTCCAGGTTGTACTATGTCCTACCATAAAGTGCCAGTAGTTCTCAAAAATTTGTTTCAATTTGGGGTGGGAAAGGTGATGATGTTAATATAACCAGCTGTCTGTCTGCTGGCAATTTAGTGTTCCCTTTCATGTTCCACCTTTTAAGTCTCTTTGGCAAAGCATAGATGCTGGTGTAGCACAGCAGAAGCCCTCTGAACTCAGGCTCAGGGTCCATGCTATTCCCAGGAAGCAACATCTCACCCTGGATTCATCAGTGGCCGCATTTTGTTCAGAGCTCGTCATGTCCTGCCAGCAGCAACACGCACCTCCCCTGGGCAGGAGCTTCCACAAACACTGCTACAGGCGCTTGAACCAGGCTGTGCTTAAGTAATGTCACTGTCACTGGAGATGCTGCTTGAATGAGCCTGACCAGCCAAACTGCCACCACAGGCCTGGCCTCCTCCACAAAACACAACAGATGAGTTGTCGGGATCATCCTCAGCGTAACTGTGCAGCACCTCTAGAACAGGCATGTTCGGGTCCTTCAAATACTGGGAAAAGCCAGAAACAACAGTTTAGGTATATAGCCACTGAAAAGGCACATTACAAGTTACAGACAGAGCAGGTACCACCAAGTTGCTTCAGACCAGAATTCAGTGAGAGCTGCTCAATGTTCCATTCTGGATTTCCTTGAAGCTACACTGAACAAGGAGAGGGTTTAAAAATACCTTATTTCTGAGGGAGGAAAAAGAAAATCAATCATGCAAATGTCCACTGAAGTGTGTTAAAGGCACCTGCATTTCCTATTTTTCTTTTTTTTAGTAATTTTTGGCTAATATTATTTTCCTGTCAGTTTAAGCAAAGTCCTACTAGTTAAGACCAAGCCACAGAAGAAAACACTTCTTTATTACACTGCTGGGGACACGTCCTCCAGTTGCAGGAATCTAGCAACTGACAGCTTGTCTAAAGCACTAATGTAGCAAAGGAGAGCCAAGATTCTGGTTTGTTCAGTGCTAGGCAAGTCAGATCTACACACTGTTACCAGCAATCTCTAGTGACATCTCTTGTAGGTACTTTCTGCTTTGACTTGCCTTCTGCTCCCCATTCCTCCAAAATTAAGTCATCAGCTTTACAATGAACACATAATCAAAGAAAGGAGCAGTAGAAAAGAATGTAGGCCAGAGGAAACAGGAGGACGCTTTCTGTCTCTCGTGTCACCTCCACATACTCTCCTGATCACTGAGCTGATGTGTTTCACAGGGAATTGGAGCCATCTTAAGTACTGAACCAAAAAAACCTACCTATCATTGAACATTTTTTTCCCTGATTTAAAAATAAAATAAAACAAATGCCTAGAACACAGACGCCTTCACATTGTTGAAAGACAGATGTAGCTTCTAGTTTTACTCAAAAGCTTGTTCTGTACTGCAGGAGGTGTCATAACCTAGCTGAGATGGGACAGCAGCTCAAGTCGTATCAGTTGTGGGACAGAATTAACCTTAGTTTCAATTAAGACACCACCTTCTCTGTAATCACAGCTAATGGCTAACAAGCAACAGGCTTGTTTTTTCAAGTGTATTAAACCCAAACGTTTCATATGGGAACCTCAAATAAATTCTCTTCAACAAATTCAAGACATAAATGAACCTCAAGTTGGTTTTGCTCTGTGAAGGCATTTCTGCAGTAAAAATGCTCCCTAGAACGCAGATCCTTCTGTAAAAGAAGGAAGCATGTGATTTTTCTGAACATCTCCAGGAGTACATATGAAACTGCCTTAAAATAAGCAAACTCCTGTGTTTGAAGAGGAAAAGCCCCAGGCTGGTTGATCCTTTTTAGAAATAACCATTACAAAAAGTTGTGTTTCTTTTCCAGATTACTGCAGTTACTCCAGAACACAGGATGACAGATTCTGATCTTATGAGTCCTCTGCATGAAATACTTAACTGTTTAAGTACACTGTACATGGATTTTTTTCTTTTTCTTCCTATGTGAGCTATGCTTTGCTTGATACATGCTACAGGTGCCTCCACTGAGCCCATCAAGTGGTAGATGAGGTAGCAGGAAGAGAGAAAATCATTTACTCAGGGGGTCTGCAAAAAGTCTGGGTTCATTCACCCTCACATCTATAATAACCTGGAAAAACAGCTCCACGATCACAGAACTACCGTAGTACAAGGGACTCCACTTGGCAGTCAGATGTATACAAAGAACTGATCTATACCCAGAGACATGCAAACAAATACAGAGCTTTTAAAAATATGGAATTTATGCTAAACAAGGACTTTGAAACTGGGAACTTGGCTTAAAGACTAATTCCTGTTTAAACACTAAAAAGAGGAAGATGAACAGAACTGAAACAATACTGCTTAGTACAGAAATGTGTGAGCTACAAGAAGAAAAAAGTCCCAGGATGATTTTTTCATCTGAGTACTGCTAAACCTACAGGGGAAAAAAAATATATATATATATATAAAGCCAAAGAAGGTCCTCCTCTTCAAAGCTTTCAAGGCAGTCCCTGCTCTTAAAGCCATCAGCGTTCACTTCCCATATTTGATTTTTAATCTGAGACCCAGGTCCCAAGGATGTGTTCTGCAGCACACAACAGCTGTTTGCTTCCAGAGAGCAACTGTTTCAGGCTTGTTGACTTAGATAAGCAACGAAAAGGGGTGGACACAGGGTAGTTAAGAAACAGAGAATCTTACTTTGGTTTTGTAAAAGGATTAGAGCAGCATTTGTATCTTAGTGCACCGAAAAAGAAGTAATTCAGTTGAGCAGAAGAGGAATAAAATGGGGGATCATAAATGAGAAAAGCAACAGTTTGCACTAAGTCAACTGTTTACATCTGTTTCCATTAACACAACATACAGCTTTGTTCATATTCACCCCAAGATCATCGCTGTCTTTTACAGGGGAGAGAAATACAAAACATCTCCACATACCTCTTCAAAGTGTGATGGGATTTGTAAAGGTGGCTGAGACCAGTATTTAATTTTTTTGTTGTATCTCCACAGAAATAACAAACCAACTGCTACCAGATTTACAAAAAGCAACACCAACACAAATATTAGTACAATATATCCAGTTCTGCTTGCCTCTGAAAAAGAGAAAACCAAAACAAATATACATATGACAAGTTCATATTTATACATATATTTATAAAAATGTAAAATAATACACAGCAAGCTGAAATTTACTATACTTGGTAATCAAATTACATATATAAATTATATACGTGTGTTAAGAAGTAGCTTGTTTAGTGATTCCATGTGGCAGTCACCAGCCCCCATGAGCTGCCTCCCCTTAACTGCACAGCCTGAGGCAAGCTCCTGCTTGACACACCTGCAGGGTGAAGGCAGAGCTGGAGGAATCACTGCTGGCCGTCGGAGGGCAGGCAGGGAGTGCAGTCTGTCCTTCCACCCTCAAGCTGCCAGCAAGGGCCATTATTGCCAGAGGTTTCTCTTTCAGAACATGCACCTCCTTTCAGCCAAGGGGGCATCAGACACTTCAACATCGCAGCTCTGGGGCTCATGATCAAGTGCTTGATCGATATTATCCGGGAGGTCAGCTCCTGTGGGGCTTCAGAAACTGCATAAGCAGGTTTCATCTACACGTCCTCCAGTGCCTTCAAAAGCATGCTGTGTCTGGCACTGGTGGTCACACAGAGGGAGTCAAGAGAGGAACAAACTCCATTATCTTGCACGTGCCCTCTCACTTATCTCCTACTAAAACATGGCACTCAACACATCAGAGAAGGAAGCACATCAAAGAGGAGAGGAACGTTCCTGTCCTGCAGCAGGCAGTGGCTGAGGAACAGCAACACCGTCTCCTTCACCAGTGACTTCCTCTGAAGACCAAGTATTTGTATTTTCTCTCTTTGCCTATTTCTAGCAAGTAATACCCACAGCAAGGACAAGGGGAAGAGTACAATGAAAACCCTCAATTACTGACTGAACAACTCCTCATTAGTTTGCCATTAATGACAATTGTAAACAACTATCAGTGATGCTCTCTTATCATTCCTGACAAACTACAGCATCACAGAATAGTTTGGGTTGGAAGGGACCTTAGAGATCACCTAGTTCCAACCCAACTGCCACGGGCAGTGACACCTTCCACTAGATCAGGTTGCTCCAAGCCCCAGCCAACCTTGGCCTTGAACACTGCCAGGGATGGGGCAGCCACAGCTTCTCTGGGCAACCTGTGCCAATGTCTCACTGCCCTCATAGTGAAGAATTTCTTCCTAGTATCTAATCTAAATCTACGCTCAGTATGTACCTGGGTATGTAACACGAGGTAAGACCAAATGTTACATGAGCTAAGACTCATGTTCTACACTCATCTCAATACATAGAAAAATACAACAGAATTCGATTTATACCACTGATTGTAGTTCTGTAACACTCTGGGACACTTTGCAGTCCAAGTAACTGGTAATCTGGATGTGCCAACAATTCTACTTGAATTCTAAAACAATAGAGGGTCAGTTCCTTCAGATTTCTGATTTTGAATAGTGTATTGCTCATCTTTTTCTCCTGTTAAAAAGAAAAAAAGAAGTGTTACTGTAAAAACTGGACCTGTCTTAAACACAAATCCCCTCCCCGTTTTTAATTTGCTCATTCAAAAAGCAAAGATTTTATTTTTCATAATTCAGCTTCCCCAAACAAGAGAAGCAGTGAAATATATTTCAACTTTCCTACGTGAATGCATTTGAAAATTCTTTTTTTTTTTTCAAATGAGATCAAGCTCAACCATTTGAAACCATCTGGAAGAGCGCGAACAGCAGAGGCATGAGAACAGACCCAAGGTTGGATTTTAACCACCATGTGCTGCTGGATGTTTTGACACAGCTTCTGTAACAGCTCAGGCAGCAAGCACGGTATAGGAAGGGGGAAGGAAAAACAAGCCATGAGAAGTGCCCCTCCACCACCAGAGCAGTCCAACAGAAGTGTAGTCAGCAAAGAGCTTCCATCACCTCAGCTCGTTCTACCAAAGGGGAAAACAGCTGATGGGCAGTGCAAAACCTCCAGTCTCTACATGGCCAGCATAGTCTTTTGGCTATTTTTAACCTGTGAGGGGCTGGGTGAAGGGCCTCAGGGAGGCCTACAGAAGCATCCGAGAGTAATGTCTTGTTTGAATCTCAAACATGAATGTATTTTAGGTGTGTCAGAAAAATACACATTGGTGCAAGAGAGGAAGGAGGTGGACGCATTTCAGATTTAGCAAAGTCTTTGAAACAAAGAAATTAAAAGCAATTATGTTTTTCTGCTTCTGTTTTTTAACATTTAACTTGAGAATTACATTATTTTGAATCTTCTTCCTTTTTTTTTAATTTTTATTTAAATGTAACTTAATTCCTCCCCTGCAACGCTGGCCTGACAAGAACACTGCTACCAGGGCCCCAGACAGCAGCGTTAAGTGCACACTGAGACCAACACCTCTAAGTCTCAATATGAACAGCTCATCCCAGCTGCCCCCAGCATGTTTCTAATAACTCTGCCTTTCTCTGCCCTAGGAACAGGTGACATCAGGCCAAAGCAGCCTGTTACTGAAGCTGCCAGCACAAACAAGCCCAGCACAGGAAAGGAGGAAGGATATTTCAAGAGTTTTCCAAATTGCCTAAGCAAACTTCGGAATCTTAAAGCCGCCTTCGACAATTTGCAGATTCTCTCCCTTGCTTTGCAATGTAATTTAACTTTTACTACGTACAGAGGAAAAGAGGATGGTTTTGCAATTTTTGTCATACGTGCAATGCTTGTGCCAAGACCAAATTCACTTTTTTCCAAGACACCAAATGGTGACCCTTTACCGCTAGAGGGGAAAAAAAATGAGTTTTCTTCCCCCGTTTCTGCCGTTTTTCAAGAGACACTGACTCGTACCTCTTAATCACAAAGGCATTACGAACAAAGTAAATTAGAGAGAATTCTTACTTTTTTAATAGAACTTGTTGCATTCTCCCAGTAGGACACATGATACTGAAGAGAGTATCCTGCTTCAGATCCGAACGGGGGTGTGACACTAATGAGAAGTGAGTCAGAGCCTACAGTCACGCTGTTCACTTTAGGAGGCCCTATAGTAGCTGAACATAAAGAAAGAGCAGTGAATCTCTGGCATGCAGAACAGCTCCTCGTACCATCTCCAGCTTTACTTTGATACTCTCAGCAAACATGCTAAATATTGACAGCTTTTTCTCAATATGGGGAACATAACATTTTCTCATGTACTTCATGCATTTAAGACATCTACTTTATTACAAATCTAAGGAAAAAGACTTGAAAGCATAAGTGAAACTAGACAATTAAGAATTTTCCTGTTACCTTTTCCAGGAAATTCGGTAAATATTCTCTAGAATGTATCTGCATTTATCTGCAGTTAATGGTGATACCATTTTGTTCCTCTATTTTTTCCTTCAGCTAGCCTGCCACATACTCCATACTCACTAAAAACCACGCCGACTGGGTCAACAAATTGGAAGACCAGTAACTAGTTTCTGCTCCTTGCACTGCATCAAAGCACTCCTTGCTTTGATGTCTCCATCTGCCCTATAGGGTAAAGATGATGACTTCCTTTAGTCAAGTACTCTAAGGTCTAAATCACAAAAAATATATAAAGTACTCTCAGTCCTAACACCAGAGGCTTGTGTGATCACAGGTCATATACGGTCACTAGTCATCTAGCTGTTGTATCCTGGCTTTTTTCACCCATTTAAGCTTATCAGCATTTCTAAAGCATCTCAAAAAACCCCACTCATGCACACATTAGAGTAGTTAACAGCTGCTTGAATACTAAAGAGGGGTAACTATCAAAGTAAAAATCAATCCTTGCATGCAACCATTACTTACTGTACCTCAAAAAAAGAGCAGAACCTGCTCTGTCCACTGCTACTTTAGGGAAAATTGCCCCCAGGATCTTTTTATATTGGTAGAGAATTTTTGGTTTCTTTCTACTTCCTGTTGCTGTACAACTGCAAATGCCTTGTTGAGTGTCCTTGCAAATTCCCAAAGCTCCCCTCTCCGGTGGGACTGAGCCAAACATTAGAGGAAGAGAACAGCCTGACTGAGCAGCCAGTGGTCTTGGTGCCTAGGAACTGACCTCCAGGGCAGTCACACACGAATAATCACCTAATGTTCCTCCTGCTCCCCCACCAAGGAACAGACACACAAATATCTCTCCCACACCAAGCCTCTGCTTTGCCTTGTATTTCCATTAGGCCAGAGCTCTCCTAACCCCCAAAGGATCCCACTCCTAAGCAATCCTGCACCACAAGCTATAGATACATCAGTTGCAGACTTCAGTGCAGGATTCAGGCAATTCCTCGGCCCTGCACTCTTTTACTACCAGGGAAAACCCAAGATTTATAACAGAAGTCACCAGGGAAAGCATCATACAACCAGCATGGAATATCACTGCTCCTCACAAGGTATGGGAGAACTTGAACTAAAGAGTTTATAAATCTATTCCTCTACTTCATTATTATTTCAGAGGTGGTTTTAAACTCAATATTTACTTTCTTCTAATCCTGTAACCAATCACAGCAAGGCAAAGAGCAGATCTTATAAAGAACAACAATATGCTTGTTCATACATTTAACAGGATTTAATCTGTGCCTTTTGAGATGAGGTACAAAATGAAATATAATCCTTTGTGACTAAGAAAATTCAGTTCTAAGTAACGTTAAGCTTGGCGGCTGTGTAACAATAGCAATGGAAAGTATATTAGGTGAATACTTCATAATAATCAGTCAAAACCGGACTAGTGATTGCTGACATAACAACAAAACTTTCCAAACCTAAAGAGCCCAACGAAAAGAACATAATAAGGATCCTTGTATAAGACAAATCGTTGTAGCCAACATAGTTTTAGAACCTTATGACCTTTGTACAAAATTTATTGTAAGCCAAACAGGACTGTAGATAAAGCGTATCTGAAACTAGCAGATGTTCAGGTGGTACTGTAGTGAAGTGAACTGATAAGTAGAAGGACGAGGAGAAATCACTCAGTTACTTCAGCAGTATTACCAAAACAGTTAAGCTGTCGTAAGCATTTATCTACTGTGCATGCTTCAAAGACTTCTTCCAGAACAAGAGTTCAAGGAACACCCAACTGATGAAGCTTGTTGGAAGAAGTAAAATGACCACCAAAGACCACTACCACTTTGTTATGCACATATGAAAATGGGCGTGGAATTATGTAAAACGATTCTCAGAAAACTAATGAATATGTAGGACGTTCACCAGAAAGGTAATGAATATGTATGTTAAGCAACAATATAATCACAATCTGTTTGATACTTAAACGAGACACATTAGGAGGAGATATCCCCTGTGTCTCCCAGGGCTGCAGTAAAGAATACCTGCTTGTCAACTTAAACTTGTTGGTGAGTTCTTAACAAGTTCTATGAATCACCTTGACCCTTCTACACTGGAGTCAGGACAGTTTATGTTTCTTAGAAAAGGGATCTATTCAACAGAAACAGGTAGTTTGTACTCAGACCACCAAAAATCAAGGGAGTGTATGTATGCATGCGACAGTGCTACGTAGGGAAATAAGGAAATGGAAAACTCTCTAACATGATGATGTTGTAGCTCTTACAAGGCTCAACCACCCAAGGAAACTCATCTGTTTCTCTTTTGATACCCCTTGAAAAAGCGCTCTGCTAACCCCACTTCAGAGGAATTAAGTATTATCAGTTTCCTAGTGACACACCGAGGCCTTGCGGCCTTTGTTCACTGAACACCTACAGTATTATGTACACTTGGCTTTTGTTCATAATAGAGTCAGAAAGTCCACAACAGACAATAGGGATTTTTTTTTTCCCCAAAGAAATCTCCTTTGAGAGAGAGACACTGAAAGCATGAACAGCACTTACTGTTTCTCTCTGCCACAAAGGGATCTGTTTCCACCCAGTCAGAAGTCACTTGCCCTAGCTCAGCCCTCACGCGCAAAACAAGAGTCCAGCGCCGCTCCTTAAGTGACCAGGGGAGATTGCACTCAGTGTGGGTGATCCGGGTGCAGTTCATCTCATCCCACTTGTTGAAGGCCCCTCTGCAATGCAAAACAAAGGACAAATAAAGCATCAGCAGAAATGTGCAACAACATAAAACAGAATCTCTCCCACTAAGACAATTTTTGGGACACAAGAATGTGTCACAAAACTACCACTTTCATGCCATCTGAATTCCCCAGCCCTTTCAGCACCTGCATCTCCTCAGGATCTGGGGAAAATTAAAATTGGCAAGAGAGAATTTGGTATGGCTAAAATTCCACAAGAAACTATGCAACATTTCTGAGTGCACTTCAGGTCTTCAATCTTTTCTCAGTTTAGTGGACATATCACAGGCTAAGAGATTGTCAGGCTTCAGAATCTGCTTTTGGGTATACATAAAGGTATCTGTAATAGACAAATCTTTTATTTCTGTGTTTGTTCTTTTTTAGGTGGGTTTTGGTTGGTTGGTGTTGTTTGTTTTAGCTAATTGTGTTACTGGATTAGAACAAAATCAGTTTCATTGCTTTCAGAACTATTTACTTACGTTTTATAATTGACTGTGTATAACACTAAGCCTCCATCCACTTCAACAGGAGACCACCTCAGCAAACTATGAAAGTTATAGGAATGAATCATCACATCCTTTGGTGCTGGTAAATGGGGAGAAGATTCTAAAGTAAGAAGAGGAATAAAAATAGTTATTGAAACATTCAAGTACACTGTAGGTAACTTTTGATCTCTAAATTCCTTCACCATGTATTATAGTTTAACTGCTTTGCAGGCAAAACCATTCCTCCTCATTCCATTTCTAGCTGCACTCATACCAATACATTTAAGTCCCCGCTATCCATGAAGCACTGAAATGCAACATACAACTTTTATTTATTCCATATGAACACAGTACTGAAAGTATCCAGTCCAGCACAAAAAATTAAACCCCATTACAAAAGCTCATCTATTTAAATTGTCTGCATCTCACATTTTACTGTGTTAACAACTCAGAACATGTTTTTCCTGCCCATCTGCCTCCTGCTAACTTGTTCGAAAACACAGGGGTCCCTTCACTGAAACTTTGCAGGAAAGGGGGTGGGGAAGCCTTCTCAAGCCATTCACAAGCACCATTCCACTTGCAAGCCTCAAGTTTTGCCTGTTTTGAAACCAATTTCACAATGTAGAAAAGAACAGAAACCCCTGTTAGAGGCATGCGTTCTACTAGTAGCAATGTCCACCCAAATTTGGTCATGCTGTGAACTCCTGGAGGTGAACAAAGACTGCAGTCATGCTCGAGCAGCTCGTCAGGAGGCAAGCAACACAGACCTGGAGACCAAATGGTTGTGCCTCTAGGACAGAAGAGCCACTTCTCTCCTGACCTAAGCAGGGTGGAGGAGCAAGCTGTCTACTGGGACTGGAGGACCGCCAAAGGCCAGGCACCAAGCTGGCGGCGAAGGGGTAGGAAAAACAAGCGGAGGGAGGGGGGTAAAAGAAGGACAGATGGATGGACAGCAGCTGAGCAAAAGGCAGAGAACCAAAGGCTGGAGAAATGGGGGTGGGTGAAGTAAAGAAAGCCAGAGGAGAGGTGGGGGAGCAGCTGGAGGGAGATGTTAGCTAGCAAACAGGGGAAAACAGCAGGCTGGAGAACTATAAAACACTGAAAGACATGGAGACCAACTGTAAGGAACTGGGACAGCCAAAAGCAAGAGACTATGATTACCACCAGTAGGCTGAGGTGAGGAAGGCAGAAAAATGCAATCAAATGCCTTCAAAACCAAAACAGCCTCACACCTCTAACCACAGCCCTGCAGTTGCTCAGGCGGGAAGGGCCCCTGGGAGCTCTCTAGTCTAAGCCCCTGCTACAAGCAAGACCAGCTCTGGCGTTAGAACTGGCTTCTCAGGGCTTTCCCCAGACAAGTCCCGAACCTCCGAGGACAGAGCCTGCCCACCTTGCTGGGCAATGGCTTCACTGCCTGCCTGTCCTAAGAGAGAGAAAGGTTCTCCTTCTGTATTTGACTCATATTTGTCTATGTAGTGATACCCTTACACCATTAAACATACAGGGTCAATGGGTCTTAAGCTTCAGAATCTGCTTTCGGGTATACATAAAAGGAACTGTAATAGACAAATCTTTTATTTCTGTGTTTGTTCATTTTTAGGTGGGTTTTGTCTTAAGCGCAAAGACAACCACGACATGATACCCCACATAATACGATTTTTTTTAATTTTTAAATTTTTTTTTTGCCTCTTAGCCACTATTTTTAAGTAGGGCTCTTAAGTAAACACACATTGTCTTAGGCTACAGATGGATCATTGAGCTTTGCAAACCCGTTTGAGACTCCTTACAGTTATAAACGCTACCTAACTATTAATCTCCTGCATATTTTCTTCATTGAAGAAAAGTTTTCACTTTCCAGACACACAAATTCTTTCTTGCACTGTTACCGCTGGTCTGGCATGTGGTAAAGTATCTCACACCATCAGTAATCTGTGCACTCAGACATCCAATAGAAACTGATTTTACAAACATCAAGAAAGCTGTCAGAGCGAAACACAAGCAATGGCTTTGGGTTTCTCCTCTCAGAAAAGAAAAAAAATAAGAAAAACCAGTGAAGGATGAGGGCACCTGGTCCATGTTCTCCTCAATCAGGACTTCACACTGATTATTCTGCTTTATATTAGCATTCAGAAACAGAGCATTTCCCCTACCACCTTCAAAAAACACTGACGAAGTTATCAAACCTATGACTCTGCATTGCACATCAAGATACCGTGTGCCACAAGGCACTTACTGCTGCACTGAGGAGCTGGGTTTGTAGCACACCAAGGGAACACATCCGTATCTTGGTTAGATATCTCAGCTTAAGGGAAGTAACTGAAATTGCTGAAATCACACCCTGTACTCTGTAATCTTCAGTTTGTGTGAGACTGTGGTGGTTCAAGCCCAGCCGGCAACTTGGAACCACGCAGCCGCTCACTCACTCCCCCCCTCTTCCTTCCTCCCCCTGCTCCCCAAGGGATGGGGAGGAGAATCGGAGGAATATAACTCCCACGGGTTACTAAAAACATCGGTGTTATCAGCGTCGTTCTCAGACTAAAAGCCAAAAACACAGCACTGTACCAGCCCCTAAGAAGGAGAAAAAACAACTGCTGTAGCTGAACCCAGGACAGAGCCAAAGCAACAAAACACACACTTCAGAAAAAAAGCACCTATATATGCAAGTATCCTAGAAAAACCCGAGCCACCTCAGCCAGGGGAAGGCAGAAACACCCCATCCTTCCTTTCCCTCCGGAAGGTGGTCTCGCTGAACCAGTTCTTTTAAAGCATCTGCCAAACAACACTCAGATTGTTTTTTTCCTGATGCAGAGACTTCCTGGCTCTCCAAACCGCAAGTCAAAGCTTTCACACAGCAGTGTGAAGCCACAAGTTACAGTAAGTGAAAGCAGCTCAGCTTGGCCTAGCCATCAGTTTCACAGCATCCGTTCCCACTCCTGAATGATTTCTGATCCCTTCCCCTGCATCAGCCTGAGAACATAATCATTTTGCTGTCAAAAAAGAAGTCGATGGGGGGTAAATGGGATGGTATGTGTATTAATGGACTTTTGTCATTCTAGAGTACTAAACTGGCTTCTCATATTGTCAGACAAGCACCAAAGCCTGCAAAATGTCAATAGCAGAAGTGTGTGACCAGGCAGGAATAGGCAACAACAGCTGGTTATTCCTTTGGCTCAGATTTTAAAGCGTAGCATCACCATTTACAACAGAAGAAACATGGTGCACTGTGCCTACAAAAGAGAGCACAAAGGGGGAGGAGGTACTACACGCAAGTCAAACACCAGAACAGCTCCCTAGGAAATCCTGCTGCTGCGGCTGGAATGAGACTGGGACACACTGACTGCAGCAGGTCCCCCCAGCTTGCCCCAACCCACTCATGGGCATTTGGACTCCTGCATCCCTACACAGACTGCACGCCTGGAAAGTTAGCTGCCCCCAAACAGCCACAGAGCTGCACAGAACTCGGCAGTCACAGGCTGGTCAGCCAGACCTTGATGAACACAACAAAAGGTGACAGTGGACACACTGAACTCACAGAGGTACTTGCATGAGAGAGTAAGGACCACAGTGTACACATACCTAATTCAAGACATGTCACAGCAGCTCTTCCACACTTGCTGGGATACATAGGGAAGCCAGGATTACATACTCATCAGCTACAGCTTAGACCCAACCTGAAAAGCTTTGCTTTCAAGGCCCCCATTATGGCAAAGCATTTACATAAAAGTCTATATCCATTCCCACCCAAACTGTCAATTTACAAAATCAAATGGATTTTTTAGTGTTGTTTAATATCTTCATTGATGATCTG